TAAAAAGCTTTTGTGATAGGTAGGTAACTGAGTGTTACATTAAAAAAATATATTTGTATTTGAAAGCCTTCATTAGGTTTTCTACATTTAATATCGCAAGCCTTCAACTAAGGGAGTGCAGTCACGTGTAAATTGATTTGGGCAAAAAAGCCGTTTAGAGCAGATATGGCAAATGAGTTAGCACTAATAAAATAATCATGTGACGAGTTACACATAACAAATATGTCTGCTTTAGTAGGTGTATCGTGGGCATGGAATAGAAGGCTTTCCCATATGCGTTTGACTGTCGTCTGTGCCGGGGGTAGGGAATTTGAACCTCGCCAGGGAGGGGGCGAATCATTTCAACCAGAAATGTCAAGTCTTCCCAGCGTGATACACGCCTTTCAATGGAGAATTTAAAGGTAAAGAGTCTGCTTCCGTAAGCGCATGGCTAAGAAAGACAATTTTCACAAGGTAGAATGGTGCTTACAAGCGAAAAATTCAACCACAGCACCAAAAACTAATACCTGACTTCGCTGGTTTCTGCAACATTCGCTGGTCTCACAAAAAATCGTTCATTAATGGCAATTTTTACCCGGGAGGGGGTGAAAATTTGATCGAAACATTCTTCAAAAGTTCAAATACCCAGGGGATTGCCCGGGGCCATGTGAAAAGGGTAGTTGTACTCTAGCAATTAACCGGCGAGGTGAACGGACTTGTGTTGGTGGACTTTCATCACTTCGAAAAATGCATAGTTTTAATCCCTCCGCTATATCTATCCGGCCGATATTTTCCAGGTCTTCAATAAGTTTATGAATCAGCAGATTTGGGTGTTTAGCCTTTATGTGACCCATCACAGCATAAGAAGGAGTGTTACCGCTCTGGAACTCGTGTTTCAAAGAGTCTCGTGCTGCGAGCGAAATCTTGTAGTGTGAAGCTAACTTTTCAAAGTCATATCGCATACCTGATCGCATACTCTATCTCATCAAGTTTCGTGCACACCCATTCAAACGCATCTACATAATTTTCATCCAGACCCTCGAGAGTCATACTTACTAAGAAAGAAAATAAGAATTTTTAGTTACAATCAAGCAATCGTTACGTAAAAGTATATATATTTCTCCTCTAGTACGGGAACGTTCATCTCTGAACAAAAATTCATTTTTTAATCGACGTCGTCCTCAGCGTTTTCGTCCTGAATGCTTAATCCCATAGCGGAGGGTCTGAGTATTTTTCTATCCTTCGATCTTGTTCAAAATAGTGCAAATTCACTCACCTCCTAGTGACACAGCGTTTGTTGATTGTTTGATGTCATCGAACGGAGTTCTCTCTCTTTGTTTACCGAGTTCAACGTCTCTACACCTCAGGATGGGACCACACTTCATCCTTTCAAAGAAGCGCGCAACCTTGTTTCGTGTAAAAACAAATATAAGAATTAGAATGAAAATAGTGGAAATACCACACATGGTAGCAACAACAATAACAGTTTGATTATTACTATCGACGCTTGTATCAGAAAAAGATCCCTTTGATTTATTTCCGTAGGATCCTTCTGATGCTGAAGTTGTTTGATACTCGAGTGGTAGGTAACGTTTCATGAGAAGAAAATGTCGCACTTGTGGTCGTGGCTGTGGCTCTTGCAAACGGCTCCGGTATTCTTCGCGAGGGAGCCAAAAAAACTTCCTCTGCTTGTCCCTTTCGGCTTGCCTCTTTCTTTGCCGTGGGATTTGTGTCTAAAAATTATGTGCTCGACGTGGTCTTTGGAGTTGTCCAAAACATTTGACAGGTGGGCGCAAAGTCGCTACCTTGGCAACCCTTGGTCTTTGCACTGCTTCTCTAACTGATCTTTACCGTCCTCACAGCAGACGGAACATGGGAGGCAATGGTGAAGCAGGTTGAAGGCGACAACTTTCCGGTAATAGCCAAACTTACAAGAGCCACATAGAGTGTTCCAAGTCGCAGAACAGTTCCTTCTCACTGCGCGTCCAATAGAGCATAGGGAGCATGGCCTACAGGGCCTACAGGGCCAATGTAGTGTGTTCCATATATGGCGGTTCCGCCGCAAGGAATCGAGGGTTCCATTCCGTCTAAGCAGTCGATACATGGTAGACACGTGCTTTTCTGTCCTGGTTTATCGCTGGTTGATCTCATCATTTCTGCAGCCCAAGCAACTTTTTCCATGTGCTTGGAACTGAAAAAGAAGGAAACTTAATTTTCTTTATTGAAACACTATCTTTCGCCTGGTGCAACCGTCAGATAAGCATTTTTTCGTTATCCTACAATAACCAGTTAGTATCTTAGAGGGATAAAAAAGGAGGAAAAGGAAAGTTGACTTCACATGCTCAATACTACCAGTGTGCGTCATGTAATTTACTTCACAGGGTATTGGAGGCAATATTGAGGAATAGTGATTTCCCGAGTTCTCTACTGGTTGAAAAAAAAAAAACTATCTAAATTGACCATAATATATTAAACCTATCGCCTGAATTTTGCCAGCCTGAAATAAACTAAGTGCGAACTTACCACAGCTGCCATAATTACGATCTTTGTTAACATTCGAACGGAGCTCATGGTTCAGGAGTATGTCTTCAGTCCACTTGACTTGGTCGGGTAAAGTTTACGAGGATATTTGGCTCCAAAACGGCAATCTCCTTAATTACGGGTGAAGAAAATAATTCAGTGCATAGCTTGAGATATGAAAAGATACAGTATGACATGACAGGTCAAAGGATGTTTCAAATCGTATAATGATCGAAAGACTTTTGAGAGAACTGTAACGCTGTACCTGCGGTTCAGTCTTCCTTTACTTTCTCGTCAAATCCTGCTGAATTGGTTGAGGCTTTTGAAACACAAATAATATTTTGCAATGAAAAGAATCGGTAGAAGCTCATGATCATTCGTTTGGCTCAGTAGCGAGTTGTTAAAAAATTGTGCTGACACGCAAAATGCCAACTGGTTGATACTAGATTAGACCATGTGGGGAATCTTACACCGCCAAAAAAAGCTAATTGATGTCATCCCAAAGACATCCCAACGGCAACAAGACACAGATTAAAACAAAAATGGGGGGGCGGGGGAGAGTGGTATCAGTCACATGAATAGAGAATCACAGAATTTGAGCGAGCTAAAACGGTATCCCTGAATACGCTATGGAATGCGAACACAATCGTCCCCGCTAACTTTCTTTTGACCCGGGTTTACTCTTTCTACCAAGCCATGCTTTACAATTCCTCACCCTCCCTCAATTTCTAAGTTCTGATCGAAACGCCTTGACACCAGAAGCAGGAGAATTTTAGATCTTACTTCCATCTTCGTGAGGCTAGAGTACATGTGAAGTCAATCTATTTACGTAACACATTATTTCAAATTCCTTTGCACTCAAGTGTTGAAACCGGGATTTCCCCAAGCTTGGCCATAGGCAGGTGAAGAAATAAAGCAGGAATTTTGGCACCCAGTATCGCTTTCATGTCGAGATGGGAACAACCATTAACACGTGTATGTTTTTGGAAACAATTAATAATAGTTCGAGATCGCAGAATTTCTGGAAATTAATACTGAGTACAACGTGAACAAGGAAAGAATCCTGAAATCTTAAATTTTTCAAACCTGTTGAGTTATGGAGAGGGATGCTACATGGTAGATTATTCTTGAATAAACATTCCAAGTCACTCCGACTTCAAAATGACACTTGATCTGATCAGTGTGTACTTTTTGTGGGATTTTTCCTTTTCCTGTGGGGACATATGGTTGAAATTAAGGACAACTGGAAAATCCACAAAAACTAAAACTAAAAAATTTACAAATCCCACGGAAATCAACCGTAAACCCACACTTCGCGTAACATCAGAGGTTTAATTTTAAAGAAAACAAAGTGTAGAAAGTACCCTCGTCGTTTTTATCCTTAATTCCATCATCAATCCATTGAACTCTTGGATATTAACTGTAATCCTCATAATTTGATAAGAGTATTAGGGAGGATCAATTAAAGTTAGTTTCGGTCAGCCATAGAATGTCTGGGTTGTATCGTTATCTCAGCAGCGGACAGAAATAGAAGACTTTGAAAAAACAAAACATATTTTCTATGCAACTTCTGTAATTTTGATTTTCAAGTTCAAAAGAGTTGAAAAATTAGTTCTGAAGTATACACGATAACACTTTTTTAGAATACTGAAATTTCTGTAGTAATACAATTTAAATGTGACTTGCTATTCATTCAATAGTTAATAGTTAATTAGGGCCAAAAATTGTATCACAAAATACAACAGTCGATATCTTGCAGTCCTTTTTTAAATTCCAAAAATGTATTCGAAAAACTTAGTAACAAATAACTACAAAATACATAACATTAACATAACTAGTACATCAGTCTAAGAGTAGCAATCTACTTTGCAGAGAAAAAGTGAATTACATTGTCTTTTAGTAAATTACCGAACGGAGAAGCTAATTCGTCTATAAACACCTCGGAACTTATCATTACAGTTTCAACACATTTCCCAGAACGAATAGTGAAAAATGATTGAGCTAATGTTCAGCAGTTAGAAAGCAGAATAAATAATAAGATTACGCTTAAAAGTTAAACGAAAACAAATCTTAATGCATGAGACTGTTGACTAAGGTTTAAGCACATTACTCCTCTACAAATCAAATTGATTATGAAAACATTTGAATAAGTAGGTAAAATTTGCAAAGCAGATACAGTCACCATTGGAAAGACTCGGCAAATACATCTTTAGCTCTTAGACGCCCTATCATTTATACATAACAAAAGCTAAGAATAACGTATTTAGCCCAAAAAAAATTAAAAAATACTGAAAAGTAACAAAAAATAGATAAAAAATAAGGAAAACGTATTTTTTTTAAATTAAAAGTGCTTTTTCGATGCAAGGATCTAGACATAACAGATCCTGTGTGACGAATTGTGCTCGGTTTTATAATTGAGTGTCGAAAATAATCTGGAATTGCGTTTATTTTTTGCTTAATGTCGCTCTGTCTGCCACCATGTCAACCACTGTGTCAACCAATCAAACAAACCAAAGCCAATCGCCACTCGAGCACTCGCGTTCTCACGCGCTTCAAACAGTTTGCCTGCGGGTACGTTAGTCTCATTGGCTGCTGATAACCTCTATTTTGTTTAGGCAATGTGGCAGCTATGGTATTGGATTTGCGACGCTAAATTGAAGACTGATCTCTTCTTGGTAGAATCTTAAACTACTTGGAAAGCATTTCCTTTTCGGTAAGGACTGTCTAATGAATTCGAAGATCGGTCTCCTCGCGATACGCGACAGGTAGGTAATCTCTAAAGTAACGTAGAAAAGGCCTTTGCTTTCTCTTGCCTTCACTGGCGAAGGAAATAAGACAATTAGTTCCCTAAAATTTGCGTTTGCGGGTTTATACATGGCTCTAACATTAAATTGTTATTAAACTGAAGATGAAATGGAAGTCATGCCAATCAAGACATCTCTTCAAACATTGGCTCCTTTTCATTACCCAAGTTACATCAAGTCTTTACATTTAGTAAGTGCAACTATTTAGAATTACACCTATCTGAAATACTTGTTACAACAATACATGAAAATAAGACTTTCAGTAATCAAAAATCCTTACCCTCCTTTACTACAACAAATCATATTTCTCTAAAAGCTTTGCAACATCACCTCTCTTTGCTACGTTTCTCACTACAATTATAAATTCAGCCACGGTTAGTTGTTCATGTGTGGCTGCCAAGTGATCAATCAACGCTCTGGATGGTCCATCCCTCTGCTTCTCATAAATTGAGACAATTTGATAACGATCAATACCATAAGACGCACAGACATCACGATAGTCACCAACGCCTGCCATAGGTGCATCCAAACGATCACATATTTTCTTTAAGTACTGGTAAGACTCACACTCTAACAAGCTGCTAAGTGGCTTCGAACCTAAAACAAGGAAAGACACTCAAACACAGACAACACTATGGGGGTTTATTCATATTATATTTACATTTTGGGCTCACCACAAACAAAATATAATTTAACGTTTTGTTCCAACCACACAGAAACAATCTTCAAAAGTTCAAATTCCCAGGGGGTTGCCCGGGGGCATGTGAAAAAGGTAATTGTACTCTAGCAATTAACACGAGGTGAACGGACTTGTGTTGGTGGACTTTCATCACTTCGAAAAATGCATAGTTTTAATCCCTCCGCTATATCTATCCGGCCGATAATTTCCAGGTCTTCAATAAGTTTATGAATCAGCAGATTTGGGTGTTTAGCCTTTATGTGACCCATCAAAGCATAAGAAGGACTGTTACCGCTCTGGAACTCGTGTTTCAAAGAGTCTCGTGCTGCGAGTGATATCTTGCAGAATGAAGCTAACTTTTCAAAGTCATATCGCATACCTGATCTTTTATCATCAAGTTTCGCGCACATCCAATCAAACGCTTCTACATAATTTTCATCCAGCTCTACGAGAGTCATAAAGATCGAAAATAAGAATTTTTAATTACAATCGAGCTATCGTCACGTAAAAGTATATATATTTCTCCTCTAGTACGGAAACGTTCCTTTCTGAACACTACCGGAATTCGAAAAGAAACATCGATTATACTATTTTGTCAAAGTTTCAAAGTGAAGGTGAATGATATTGAAAGTTAATTCCTCTGTTTCAAATTTTAGGGGGAAGATATGGATGGTGCTTCATCGTTGTAAATGTCTGCCTTTGTGTCAAGCATAACTTTTCGGAGAATGATTAGAAATTCATAGCAAAACACAACGGTTCTACTCCCGATGAACTCACCAGTCGTTGATGTGTATTCAGCTTGTACAGGTAAGCAGGAATCAGTGGGCTGTGGAGACGCACTTCTACTGCACTGAGATGATAATTGTGTAGGACTGGACAAAATAGTGTGGGGGTTGGAATGAAGCGAATCACGGTGACCTAGTTTAGATGATTCAAACTCTCTTAACTGAGTAGATTGACAGGCATTGGTCAAAGAAGAAGCAGCCTCGCTGGGTTGAGATGAGTTGGAAGAGTTTAGATGAGACGCCTCTTTCGATGGATTTACCGGGGGTGATGACCCAGTTTTCTCAGATGAACCAGTCGAGGCGTGAAGAGATGACGCAGATCCACTTAGTTGAGTTGCTTCGGATTGAAGTGACTTTGACTGAGGAGCGTGGTGGCGTTCCGAGCAGTTTGGAAGAGAGGATTCAGACCCATGTCGAGGTTGTGATGCTGGTTCACTTGACAGAGGTAATGTAGACTCGATAACCACTTTCGGTGCTGATCCATTTTGCTGATGTGGTGCTGACGGATTATTTTTAGAGAGTGCAGCTGGATCGAGAGGGGAAGATACGGATCCACCCGACTGAGGCCGATTAGACAAAGACCGTGTTCCTTCGTGAGAAGAACTATTAACAGAATCCCTCCGATCCACCTCTCTTTGACGCCTTAACGTATTTCTTAGTCTAATGGATTTTTTAAGGATGATCAAGACAAGAACTGCTATGCAAAACGCAGCAACAACCGCAAACAAGATTATTACAAACGAAATCTCAGGTCCAGTAGCATCCTCAGACACTTGTACATTGTCTAGGGCCTTATCATCAGCCTGAGTTGGTTTCAACGACGACTTCAACTCATCAAAAGGTAAGCCTCTCTCTTCTTTGTGTTCCGTTGTTGGTTTTTTGTAAATGTCAGTTGGATACATCTTTTGCGTAGTTGGCACAATTCCAGTGGGCGCTGTTATTTCCATGAGAGTTGTTTGGGTATGACTACATGGTGTAGATGGCACTTTGCATTTGTGATCGTAGCGTTCACATTCTTTCGCAAACTCATCATTTCTATCGCCACAACACTTCGCACAAGGCTTACAAGCAAATGAGAAGGGCTTATAGTAATATCCTTTCCTGCATCTACTGCACTTACTGTTTGAGAGACGAGTGCAGTTCTTCAGTACCACCCTCCCCATCGAGCATACGGAACAAGCTGCGCACTGAGCTTTATCATAATTGTCAGAAAATGTTTTTCCAAGTTGACATGGAACGCAGTGAATAGCTGTCCAGTTTTTGATCGTGGATCCACATGGCACAGATGGCTGCGATCCGGGGGGACATGTGGGACAGTCTAAACATTGATATCCTATTTTTCTAATATTAGTCAAAAGTATCTGTTCTGGCTTGCACAGGAAATCTGCTCCAGTCCTACAAAGCTGTTAACGGACAAAAAAAAAAATAGCCAGTTAAGACTGAATATGGCTACTGCTGCGGCATCCCACATATTTATCAGTACTCTGTTCCGAAAGAGAAAGATGATTCAAGAATATAGTGACTTATTGACACGCAGCCAATAATTAAATGGTGTTTATCATCTTTTCAACGTGTGGTGTCACGGCAAAGAACTGAGAAATTCATATCTTCGGTTCCGCTAGGCATAATTTTCTAATTCAAACGGAAACATGCTCTCTCTTCAAAGAAAACATTCTTCCTTAAAGTGCCCCTGAGATGAAAATTTACCATTTTATTTTGGGCTAATTCTTTAACAGAATGTTGAATTGGGTCAAGTTAAAACCCTATTTGCCATTAAAAACTCAAAATAAACCTTCGATAACCAATTTTTACCGCGTCAAAGTCGTCCAAAAATCGTCCGCCATTGATGAAAACATGTTCCAGCCGAGCCCGCAATTATACAGCTGAAAACGTCATCATGACGTCAAAGGCTCAACAAACTTATGCTTAGCTTTGTCACAACTCTCTTTGTTCGCTGCAAAGAGAATCACACATATTACTTTTTTGGGAATTGTTTCGTTGTCAGTCGTGAAATGTCGACTTTGTCTGACGACGAATTGTCCCAGAAAAATCTAAAGCTTCTGTGGATAGTTTTGCGCCGGTAAACGATGAATTGTTACCATGCGAATAAAGATAAATACAGAACGGCACGGACTCCCCATGTGGCTTTTGTGGTCACATCGCTTTATCGCCTTCGAATTGTATTTTTGCTTGTCGTAAGGGATTTTCCTTTTTTGTAAGAAATGATCGAGTGATATATCAAAATTGTTTTGGGCAGTGGTTGATTGTGTATCAAGGCGGATATTGGGAGTTTGTGAAAGCCATTTCTTAGCCATTAATGTGTTTGCCCCGATGCATTTGGTCTGTGATCTCATTAACCCTTTCCTGCGTGTTTTTTACTATCGGTGCTTAGAGAGGTTTGAAGTGAACTCTGTTGTTGGGTTGCACTTTGGCCTCTTGTTTTTTCTGTCTTATTCATGATGACTATTGTTGTGTTACTTCGGTAAGATTTAAAGCAGAGTTTTTTTAAACTCTTTCAGAGCCGTGAGCTCATTGCGTTACAAAGTATTTTTTGGTTTATTAGATAGTCTACAAGTTGTGTTATGACAATTTTCCAAGTAGCTCTGAAGGGCGATAGAAGACTGAACCGGTGGCATTCAGTTTGATATGAAGCGGTAGTGGTTCTTTGTTTAGCCTGAGTGAAGCCGAACGAAAACCCCGATTTTATTCGTCTGCGAATCAGCGACAAATATCTTGTTCTGGAGTACCGAGATTCGAGTACTTCGTTTGGATTGGTTGTTCCTTAAGAGGGCGCTCATTGGCTGAAAATCACTCGCACCAGGTTGCCTCATATGCCATATTTTTTTTGTAAGCCAATGAGAGTGCTCGTCAGAAGCATCCAATCAAAATGCAGAACGAAGAATTGATATTAGTGCCCAGATCTCCATACGCCAGAACAAGATATTTGTCGCTGATTCGCAGACGAATAAAACCGGGGTTTTCGTTCGGCTGCACGCAGGCTATTCTTTGTTTTGTCCGTGAAAAGTGTAACGGAGGCGCATTCGTCTTGCGAATAAATCTCGCAAAAGTTGGCCTGATTTCACATTCGTTTGTCACGGGTGTTGCGATGAATTTGAGACCCTTTGATAGCACGCTGATTTAGACGTTTTTAAAGAGATTTTCATCTTCTCGGTTTTTTTGCTGCAAGCCTACACTTTAAAGTGTTTCTACGCTCTATTTATCTTAAGCTGTTTGTTCTACTTTCGCTGATTTCAATAAAAGCCACCTTTTTTTAGAGTCAGAGCACGCAATTACATTTTTCATCTCTTTTGTCTAAAAGTGAGCTCTTTCCTCAATTCGGCTATTTTATCATTCTTATTTACAATGTTCACCGAGTACTTTCTTTTGTGTAAGGTATTCTGCCAGAGTGTTGTTAAAGGTGGATATTGATCGGCGCACATGTAAAGGTAACAAAACCCGTGGAGGTTCGTAGACTTCACTTTCGGCAAGATCGCACAGAGGATGCTTTTCTTGTCCATTCTTTTGAACGGTAGACACTGAACCCGACAGAATTCTTTACCTAGATCCTTCAAGGTACACGGATCTCTCGAAACAGTCCTCCGAGAAGTGTTCGGAGTAGATCACAAATATTTTTGCAGGATTGAAGTTTACTCGGCGAGTTCACACAAATCGCCTCCTTTTTTCCCGCTCTGATCTATTTGCAAGGCTCCGATGCAGAGAAATACCTACAGCATGGTCTGCCTGAATATTTCAGCTTTAAATTACGCATCGATGCCCCATCATTTTTGTTTAGTTTTTGTAAGAATAGAGTAAAGCACTCTGTTATGTTTGCTTGTCATTTTGCCATGTGGGATTTTCGCGTTGAGCCTTTGACGTCACTTCCTCTGAGTCCTGCCATCAACTTCCGGAACATAGTCAAATAATGGCCATACGCGAAATCGCGAATTTAACGGCCCGATAAAATATATTTCTGGTGCTCGGTCTAGACTGAAATTTGGCAGAGTAGGTGAAGGAGACCCACTGAACACCAAAATGAAAAAAAATGATGTTCGAAAATTTTGATCTCAGGGGCACTTTAAAGTTTTCATGATGCGCCGACCACGCCTCTTGAGACATTACGAAAAGTTAGGTTTTTTTCACGCGGCTCTCTGAAATGGTTGCGAGACATGTGAGATGTTTATTGTTTTTGTAGTACTCCGAAACAAACAATAACTAACACTGGGGAACAGTGTGGTCACGTGCTAACTCAGAGTAAAAATTCGAAGCGATGTGAAGAAATCGTCATTAAGGTTGAACGACCGAAGGTGTTCCGAAACAGAAAAAATCTAATCGCGAGGGGTATCGGGTAAAGCTCGGCAGACTTCGTTGTGGGCTAAGAGGTCGTTCTTATATATTATATTTTTACACTCACTCACTGATAGATATGAAAGGATTTAGGCTCACGTAAAGTAAGTTGAGGTAAGGATTAAAAGTTATGATTAATGTAAGTGTTGTAAATGCGAGCTCTCTAGGGAAAAATTAATTGCATGACGCCAATGGCACTTTCGATGTATTTTTGGATTTGACGTAGACATGACGTAGCGGATTTCCCGTCAAGAGAAACCCCGTGAAGAGGGTCGTCAACGTGAAAAGCAACAGAATCAAATGGTATCTAAGTTCTTTTGTAACACTCCAACATAGATTAAACCCATACCAAAAAAATTTCTGTGCCACTTTGATGCTGACGTATGCATGAGCCCGCCCCCTAACAAAATGTTAGTCATCGATGAAATTGTCATTGGATGTGACCTCGTGGTCTTGCGGGCTAGTTTGAGCGTAGCACCAGACCCTAACTATGACCAGACGTTAAAGACGATGGCGAAATTCGCACTCTTTTCTGTTGGACCTCAATGCTTAAGGAATCTAATAACCACAAATTACTTAAAGCTTTAACGACTAACTGAGCTTGATATAGCGTTCAATAAGAGTGAAAATGCTGTTATATTACAAGCACAGGTGTTAGCATCATTGTGTTGTTCAAACGCGAATTGAACGTCTTATATTGACTTAGAGAGCTACTTTGCGCACAAAAGAAATATTATAAATCATACGTTTACAGTAAATGTAGATATGAACACTGGAATCACAACATCTGACAAAAAAGCTACTATTTTAGTCATGCAGACTGTTGTTGGTTTGGTTATCTAATTTCCCTGTCAACTACTAGCAATAGTAAAAAAAAAAACAATCAAAACGGCGATTAAATGAATAAAGAAAACAAAAATCTACCAGGGCTCATGCCTGAAACAGAAAATATATTCGAACAGAAACGATATTTCGCCGATTTAAGACGCCCAAGTTTTGGACTGACTAAGCACTTTCGCTTTAAATGGTGACTAAGCATTTCCGCTAGAAATGATGACTAGGCACAAATGTACAGCCCATCCGATAAACTTAACCACAAAAGGAGGCAACGAAAGCAAAAACGATTATTGCACTTTTTATAATTTCGAGGGCTTATAATTTTATTACAAAAGATGATAAAATCTGTACTCACCAGCGCAACAAAACAAATGGCAACGATGGCGTCCTTCTTTGCGGTAGACCCTCCACTCGATGTTGGATTTGCTGAGCGCGAGTGTTCAATATGCAATAATCGCTCTCCCATTTTAGAGTCTAGTGCTATTCTTTTTTGCCTCCAGGAAGTATCAGATGCTAACAGGAATGAGTAGTTCACTCACAAGAGATGCACGCCACGTGTCGCTCCGTATAGAAGAGTCCGTCTGTGTAGTGTGTATCTTCAAGACAATCGAAATTGATGTGCTTGTACAAGGCGATCGATACAGATAAAGCAGTAATGAACTCTTGCCAAGATTTCTAAAAAACAAACTTGGCCTTCTTGAGCCTACACCCGAACATCTAACTCAGACCATCTCCTTCGAGACAGTCGGGGATTCCCGGCGCGGTGAACAAGCCCATCCCCAAACAACCCTTATTTAGTTATGTTTATTTTGATGAAAGTTGTCTCATATCGAGCTGGGAGGTTGTAAGTCGCGACTCAAATTACGCGCTTACTGTCTGGCTCACTCTATTGTCGAAAATGATCGAGAGGGTCACGTACAATGTATTTGTAAATAAGAAGAAATTATTTTTAGTGGCGAATAAAATCTGATGGGATAAATCCATAAGTTGTGGTGCGCAACATCTGCAGAAGAATGTTCTAACCAAAAAGGTGCACTTGTTTTAGGGGTGAGATACAGAAAGGGTGCTTGGCTACCTTTTTACTTTGTTTTGTTTAGTCCTATTGAGGCACAAGAAAGGAGAAGGACCAAACCCAATCATCAGCACTAACGGCTGATCCTTTTGAATTTGTGGTATACTGAATTATTCAAGCATTTGACTAGTACTTATGATCTATTGGAAGACAGAAGTAAAGTTGGCATCACTATTAACAGCATTTGTTTTGTCTATCCTAGCTAGAGAAATATCGATGCCATGTGGCCGTGAGTCTGAACAATGATAGATCACGGAAGACGGTCAAAATGTAATAAGAACGAAAAAGAAAATAATTTATGAAAATAATTTTTTCCATGCGTGACATGCATGGAAAACATGTCACAGCATCGGCGATGGAAGAATATGTGACAATTTTGATAACCCTTCTCACTTTACGCTCGAGATCAGAATAACATCTCATCAAATGCAATTGTTACTGGCTATTAGCCTTAGGTGAAAAAAGGCAACCAAACGTCCTTCCATATTAAGTCTAAGGCTGAAATCTGAAATGAAGATTGCTTGTGAATCAAGTTAAAGACGAACTTAGAGGGGCCGCTGCAACCAAAAATACTATCTTTATCAGAATTCTGTCACGTCCCGAGAATGAACGGCCACTTGATTTAGCCGGGTATCGTTTTTGACAGTATTTTGGTTTAACTGTTTAAGAATAGTTAAGAAAAGAAAGGAAAGATCAACCTGTTTACCGAAAAAATATTTTGCTCCGATCGCTATGGATATCGTAGGATCTGAGACTGATCATCTGATTAAAAGTAAGAATGAAAATTTATTTATTGTTATGCAAGCTCTTTAGAGAAAGTAAATTGTATGATACCAGCCGACTAACGGGCACTTGATCTATTTTTGGATCTGATGTGAACATTGACAAGTGAAACCTTGTGACCAAGGATGTCAAGATGGATAGATAGATAAATAGTTTATTAGAATATCGAACATGGCAGTCCGTAGACTGAATTGCGTTCCAATTACTTAGAACTAGGAATAAATAAATTCCAAATACAAATTGAAATTACAATAAAACCATAAATGCGAAAAACTCTCTATATATGACTATGTAATTCTTTTTTATGTACACATACTTGGAATAAAAGTGTTCTTAAAACGATTTGTATGTGTACGGGGCATGGCATAAGCCCTGGACTGTCTTAGATTATATCTGTGTTCTCTCTTAGGAGGTAAGACAGGCACGAGCTTGTGATCCGGGCATGACGTGATAGACTCGAAAAGCTTGCTACACAGAGCCACGCGTCTCGCGTGCAAGGTTACTAAGTCGAACCTGGCCAAACATTCGAAATATGACGCATAAGGACAAATGATGGAGAGCGCTCTCTTTTGCACTCGTTCAATGTCGTCACTAAGATACTGTGGGAGCGCGTGATGGAAAACTGGCGCACAGTACTCTAAAACAGATCTTATCACGGTGCAATAAAAATTTATAATGTCGCTCAGTGGAACGTTGGCGCGCTTTAGAAGAACAATAAAATAAAGGCGCTTGTTCGCTTTCTTAATGCACTCTGAGATATGTTCGTTCCATTTTAAATCTGAGCTAATAGTGACTCCTAGGATTTT